ATTCTTGCTTTAATTGGCTGGCTTGAGTGGAGATTCGCAAGAGTAGGAGTTGGATGGAGACTCGGGGGAAGGATGTATCTCAGTAAGGTGCTGGTAGGGGTCTTGACCGTACTTCCGGGATTGCTCTCATAGCCGTGGGATGCTTCTCCTTCCCCAAGCAGCTCAACGTATGTTGCCCCCGTGTCGCTACATGCTAGCGGCCTTTCCGGGGGTCCATTAATTGAGTTTTTCCAGTCACCCCCTGCCTGTTTATCCGTAGGTATGTATCAATATTGGTCAGGGGCAGGGGCCATAGTATTTCCATAGTTTTCATCCACTAGTGCATAGCAACCCATACCCATAACCCTATCAATTTTTACCACATTTCACAATAGTCCTGCTTCAACCGGGGATTATCCTTGGGTGCACTTTTATAGTAAATATAGGGATAATTGCCGGCTGATGTCCCATCACATTTATATTAAAATTGTTCAACGGGCCTCTGCGAGTTGGCTTCGGCTCCTCATACGCCTTCCAAAGGTCCGGGATCCTGTGATCCTATGAAAGGAAACGAACAAAGTAGAATTTTAATGATTTAAATAATATCTATAATATTTTGTGAATTAATGTATCATTAGAAGATCTTATGTAGATCTTCTTTCAAATAAAATAAAATGATTAAAATATCATTACGGTATAATGTAAGGCTTATAATACAATAACGAATGTATAATTTTAAGTAAGAATCTACCTAGATAATTACCTTAAGATAGTAAGTAAGAAATTTGATCCAGCTTATTCAGTAGCCATAAAATTTTAGATACGTACTTTAGCAAACGCCTTACTTAAAACCCAAACACCGGTCATATATCAACCTTTTATAATACTGATATTCTTTAGAAATTCTGCTTCTACATGGAGTGCTAATTGCAAGCAAAATGAACAGATAACGATGCCCATTCATAGTAAGACATTGGCTTATAAAATTGTATCGGTCATTAATTTTCCTTATAAGCATTATGAATGTGTTGCTTTTGGACAATATTGGCAGTATGGAGAGTTCTATGGTTAAGATTGTAATTTATTTATTGTGACTGTTGTGTTGGTGGATTTGTTATTAGTATATTAAGGAAGTAATGAGAGAATCTATTAAAATTAAAAGTACTTTTTAATAACTTCATTTAAGGAATTTTGTTTTCATTATTGATAATCGCATAATCTTTGAAACACTTTACAACAAAAGTCTGTAGAGTCCAACTTAGATCACAGAGTTTTTGACCCTAATAATTTTAACATTAAAGCACATTTTACCCAAAAAAAATTGATCCGATACACTTAAATAATTTCGAGCTTTACTCTTAAATGCTTCAAAACTAATACACTTTTGTTTGACACAATAAATGTAATAACAATCTAGATATTCAAAATCTACACTACGACAAAACATCCGAAACCTGAACAGGCGGCCTTACAAGAAGCGGGCCCTCTCACAGAGATAACGCAGACAGGGGCAGAGACTAAAGAGATCCGCCAAAGATATCCCCCGGCTAACAATTAACAATGAGACATTATACTCAGGAGTAATGCTGCCGATAATTACCAGGCTGGACGATTTGCACAGCCAAGTAAGTTATAGCTGCGTGTTCTATCGAATTAATTGATGGTGCTCTCTGAAAGTTTGTTTTTGTTCGTCGCTGGTCCTTTTATGAGTATAGATCCGTGTTTATGTGTTACTAGTATGTTTTTTCTGGAAATTATTTTCAAAAACTTAGATTGTTTTTTTCTCATCTACAATATTAAATGAATTGAAAGGAAACTAAAAGAAATTATAAATTAGTTGATCGTGAAGGCAGGCGTTTCTTGGTCCTTGTCCTTTTATGATTATGTGATTCTGGTCCTTCAGTTAAAGAATGTACAGTAATTATATTTTTGAGATAATTGCTCGCAATAATTGCTTTTTAACTGTGCATGGTTGATTTCAATATTTTTCTGAGTATCTTCATTCCTTTTCAGTTCAAAAATATTGGCATAGTCTTAATTCAAATTAAAAATTGCCTTATTTAGTGTATACAGACAGACATAAAAAACAGAATTTTACTATTGTACTGTCTGTGTTTTTCTATAGCAGCATATTTTTAACACAATTTTTCTACAATCACACATTATCATTGTAATCCCAATAAATATTACTACGTAAACAATTTCTACTACCTCAGAGAAGAAATCAGGAAAAAAGGATAAATGCTAAGTGATAGATGAAAACATCAAGTAATACGCAGAAATTTTAATGATATAAGATTGCTCAAGAACTTAAACCAAAGAACGGAATAAAGATCCTCATCGGCAAACATCCTTAGAAAGAATAAATAGTAATGAATAATTTATAGATACTAAAACAAAGTACAATTACTAGACATTGGTTTCACCACCTTAATTTAAGTAAACTGATTAACTTATTGACACGCAGTTCATACTAACTCCCCAAAAATAACCTTGACCCTTATAACTTATGTTATATAGTTTTAAGTTGAATAACAAGTTTTTACAACCACAGCTTTTAACGTAACAACATGATTGCTATTACTATTATGTAGTAGTAAATACAAAAACAAATTGTGTCTTAATAAATAAAGGTGGCTTTACTAATTAGCCATTTTCACTAAAAGACTACCTATCAAAGTTATCAATTAAGCCTAAGTGCATAATTTTGGTGAAACGATTAAAATATTAATTTTGATAAGTTAATCATTATGTTTTAAAATAACGTAGGTATTAAATATCCAGTTATAATTGGTTTAGGACATACATACATATCGATTCACGTGATACCTTGATTTTTAGTAACATAACAATTACATTATAATACTAAAAATTCCTGCGTGGTTTAAGGCGCTATTCGATTCACCAAACAAAGAATCGTTTGATTCAAACCAATAATTCCAAAAAATAGCGCGTTCAAGCGGACAAACAAACTCTTCAACTTTATAATATAAGATAGATATTCCAAAACATATAACTGACACAGGAGACTTATTTCTACCACACCACAATTTCAAAAAAAAATTGAGTTCTTTGGTTACCATTGAACTGCTTATTGAGTAATATAATTATTGAAAAAGCTGTGAAAGGTTTTTAAAATAAAGTGGCACATTAAGGAACCTTCATTAAACGCTTCGGATGGAATCTAAACGAATATTTATTGAACTGCTTATTGAGTTACATATTTATAAAAAAGAGTGAAAAGTTTAGAAAAAAATCCTAAAGACTCATTTTTTTTTCTACTATTTTTCTCAAGCTAAATTTATAAATTTCATACAGCGCTCCCTGTGGAGACTACACGGAATGATGCACACCGAGAAAACTAAAAGTAGAGATACGTCTCGGCCTCTTCCACCCTTTTACTTAGTTCACCGTATCGAAACAAGATGGCTCTGTTGACGTTAAGAGCGTTTTTATAGCAATAATTATTTTATGTTTTTTTCTGTTATCTAAGAAAAAATATAATGGTTAGTGACAAAAATATAATGGGTACAAATATTGCTTGCAAATGATAAACCATTTTATGTAAACTGTTTGATAAAGGTAAAATACTCAATACGTTTATTGCACTCCATATGTTTAACCCTGTTGGACCCTGTAGGGCACGGCAACGTAGAAGAGAGGAGGACGCTAATTTTATTTAGATTATGTATCACAGATTTTTTATTACTAGTTATAAGTAGTTGTTTTATTCAATTTATTTTGTATAATTGTTTGCTATACTTGTACCTGTCCCTAATCTGGAAAATGTTAATAAATTTAATTTATATAAAACAAGAATAGTCGTATTAAAATATAATCCCAGCAACATACATTTAAAGTTGATAATAATTGCAACGATTTCAATACAATAGATTGTGAAGGCGACTGTAGCAGCAGTTCTGTGTTCTTCAATGAAATGTCCCAATTGATAAATACATAATTTCAATCAGACTATAAATATTTACTTGATATAAATGTTAGAAACTACTACATTGAGTAAACAGGTGTTCTTCACGTGACAATGGATTATATTGGATTAAATGCTTAGACACGAGATAACACTAAGTGTATCCTATAGCATTAAATTTTACGGCGTCACTTTCTGATTTTACCTAAAAAGTTTAAAGCTATCAATTTTCCTTTATTTGCATTTGACTTTGAAGTAGATAATTAAACATAATAAAATACCTAAGGTAAAAACAAATCCTTTAAACTGTTGGATTTATTAGATCATCATTATTTTTTTCTCGTGTTCCGTAAAGCATTTGAATGAGTATATTCAAGACATAAGAATTAATCTTTTAAATGTTTATACTTTCAATGATGTTAGATATTTTATATTTTATATGGAATACTACTATTACTCGTTCTACTAATGCATTTACTTTGCATACATAGTATGCCTAAGGTGTACCTTAGGCAAATTAAAAACTTAAAGTGTAAAACTTAAAGTGTTCCCTAAGGTACACCTTCTTTTTTTGTGAGGGGAAAGTCATCAAATAACTTCTCCCGCCCAGGGCCGGGCGGGAGGGAGTGTCAGACTCTTACTGACTAAAAACCCCCCTATTCCTTCTCCTGCTCTGGGCCGAGGTCGCGGTGCCTCATTGCGCTTACCCCGCAACCCCAGCTGGACATTAGCCCTTTAGGGCCCCGTCTGTGATGGCCTATTGGCTCTTTGAGCCGCTCGCGGAACGCTACGCGTCGTACGCTCGGGTAAGGTACACCTTAGGGAAGCATTCTGGACCCTTTGTAATACTTTCATACCGTCTTATAAAAAGATATTTCAAGTCTTGATAATTAGCGATTAATACCTAATGGTTAATACCTTACCATTTTTGCGAGACGTAAAAAATAATTTTATGTTATAACTACTATAACAATTTAGCTACTGGTTTCTAAAAAAATATAACAATGCCATCGTAATCTCAAAAGTCATCGATAAATCTGTCCAAAACTAATATATTACTATTAATCGTCTTATCATTATAGGTAAGTTCTAAGTTTGTGATATTGATTTGTGTAATCTTATCAATATTATTGACTCAATAGTAACAATCAATTAAAAATAAACTAAATAAATCTTAAAATAAGTGTTCATTTAGTTGGAACAGGACGTACTGATGACCAGTTAAATATTTCTGAAAAAAATGAAGTTGTTAGTTTTATTATTTTTAATTTCCATTCTTAAAAATTGGTGTGTAGTTAATGCTCATTTGGATATGGTCGTTCCTGACCATAAAAATGTTTTTGATTTGAATCTCTATGAATCTGTGTTAGATCCTGAACTGTGTGAAGAACAACTAAAACATATGCTGGAAAATGACCAAGAACTTTTATTTGAATGTAAGTAAATGTTAACATTAAAAAAATCTTAGCTCTTATGTTGGAACAGGAAATCAAATTTTTATTTGCATTTAAATATATCGAAGTAAGTCTCTTCAAGAATTAATCATAGAATCAGTCATATGTCTGATCCTAAGCTTCTATCAATCAGGACTTTAAAAAGGATTGTATAAAAAACGTATTTTTTAAGATTTTTGAAATAGCATATTATTGAACCTTATCTAATATAGGTTTATGTTAACTGAAGTAGAAGAATCTCAAAATAAATTACTAAATAATTCTCAACAACAACTTGTGCCAACTTTTTGGATATTATCAATGTTTCTTGAGTCTATTGACTCATCAATCCTATTTAAATGGGGTTTCACTTCTGTTTTAACCTAAAAAGGTAATAATTAGGCAAGATTTCAACATCATATTGCTGTTTTCTTACGGGCGGAATCATCTCATGACTACTTCCGCTCTGAGCTAGAGAAGAGTAGTGTCAAAGACATTTTCACTAAAAATCATTACGTTCCTTCTTCTTAAACGGGCTGAGGCCGCGGTACTTTATGGCACTTACACTCGAAACCCCAGCTGAACATCAGCTCTGTTAGGCCCAATCTGCTATATAGTTGTGTGTGTTTTGGTCTATTGGCTCTTTGACGCGCACGCAGTACGTTACGTGCCATGAACTGGCTACATGTCTGTAGGATATGGTTCTAGTGAGGCAGTGAGGTAGCGTTGGTCACCATATTGCCCGGGATGACTCCTCCTGCAGCTGTGACTTTCTTTCGCAAGGCCTTGCGAAAGAAAGCCCTCTCCTTTTTTTTGTGCCCACTACGACTTCTTTCGAGAAGTCTTCGAAAAGACTTTCCAGTTTCTATCGCACTGCATCACTGCCTCGACTAAGGTTGAGGACAAGAGAACACGGTGGTGCTTCGCCCAAGTAGGACACACCACCACCGTATTCTCCACCGTTTCTCCCGTCGGTTCTTAATAGAAAAATATTGTCTTAACGTACGATTTGTTTTTTTGTAGTCTTCGATGCCGGCATCCGAACTCCAAGAGGAATATTGACCGGAGGCACTCTAGATCTTGGCAACTATCACCAATGTTTGGGGATACATAAAGAAACACCAAAGTCAGTTGTTGAAGGAAAATACTGTATGATAAACGTACCATTGGACCAAGACTGGCCAAGTTTACCATCAACGCCGTCCCTGCCAGATATTACATGGCCTGATATCACATGGCCTCCGCAGAACCAACGATATTTAAAATGGAGAGAACACGTTGCAAAGAAGTCGAGTGAACTTCGTATGGCAATGGCAGGTTTTGATACATTCACTGGGACAACGAATAACAGCAGGTAATATGAAAATCTTAATAGATTTTTAGACTTAGGAGTCTTGGTTACTTCGCTTAATACCAGCCTCATGAATCATTATTTTTAAAATTGTGAGCGATTCAATAAATCTTTTCACGATTAAAAACAATCGGTGTAATATTACTTACAAAACATGTCCGTTTTCTTTAGAGTTTTCCTGAAATACGACTGACTGTAAGGCTTGTAATGGCAAACTCTAAAAACTACATTAATAAATAAAAGAATTATTGATACTTCAATACAAATATCATCGAAATCCGTTTTTAGCGAGGGCTCTTAAACTTTGGAATACATAAACTTAAATAGAAATAATACATTTCTATTGATTATTAAGTAAGTATGTAATAATGCTATATTTTTAAAAATATTCAATCACTAGGCAATTAAAAGATATTGTCGTCAATACGTGAAGCAAAGCTCGTTACTTAGCGCCATTTTCATTTCCTTCAAATATTATTCCCAATAAATTTTACGCACCACATACTTTATACAATATTTGCTTGTTTAACTAAAAATCGCGGGTTACTCACGTGTCTATCTTGAGAAAAGCTCTACTAGTTTCGAACCACAGAGGGGTTCAAAACTACTCGTGCACGGACGCGGCGACGTCGCGCAGCCTACGCGATGTCGCGCGTCGCCGCGTCCGCGCACGCTGCTCACGAGGAAGAACCCCTCTGTGGTTCGAAACTAGTAGAGCTTTTCTCAAGATAGACACGTGAGTAACCCGCGATTTTTAGTAAATTTAGTATGTCTCACGATATTTATTATAAAACATTTGTTTGTTTGTTTAAGTTCGTCGTTTTATGTTTTGTTTTTTCTTTTCCTTTATGATATTATTATATCTGTGTTAATGTAACTGGATCAAATCCGTGTTAACATAAATTAAATTTAATAAATAAATATAAAATACTAGCTATTTTCACGCGGTTTCACCCGCTGCTCGGCTCAATTTGATCGTAGCGTGATGTTTTAGAGTCTATTGCACTCAGAAACATTGTAGCTATCTATCATTGAAAGAATTTATGACAAATCCGACCAGCGGTTCCAAACATTACCAACTACATACAAACTTAGAAACATACAAACTTACAAATTTCACCTCTTTATAATATTAGTATAGAATAGATGACAATAAAATAAGCAAAGAAAATTATTTAATTTACATCTTAAGGAAATAATTCTCGACTGTCGTCGTTTGTAAAATTTATGAGTTAGTTATTATATTGGTTTATATCAGTATTAATTATATATATCAAATAAATCGTCAGGGACACAAAAGTCATTCCGTTTAGTCACCGTTTCCTACTAATCATTTTACCTATTCCTTATCAACCAATCATAATCTACTATTTTAATTACTAGAAACAAATTATTTGTTGATTTCAATCTCGATCAAAGTCCAAATAATAATAATGCTTAGTTAACGTTAATATTGATTACAAGGGTTACTGTCGACTCGAACAAAATGTTTTTGAATAAGTACTTTCATCATTATAAGCTTATAAGTGTCCACTGCTGAGCAAAGGCCTTTTCCCATACGGAGAAGGTTAGAGCATTTAATTACCACGCTAGCTCAATGCGGGTTGGCGATTTCAAACTTATAATTTTATAAGTCCAGGTTTCCTCACAATGTTTACCTTCACCGTATGTCAGTGGTGTCTAAATAATCATAGAAAGTACATATAACTCGGAAAAAGTCATTTACTTTTAATATATTTTTACTTAGATTTGTAACATAAATGCAAAAACGCAATTTTGTTTTAAACCCGATTTCAAAACAACTTGTTTGGTTTAGGCAAAGTGCAAAGTGCTTGTTCAAGTATAAAGGGCAACCTGACATGATAGGCAGATTAGGTTAATATGACATGATAGAAGCTATAGTGAGTGAACGAAGCCAGGGAACTAAAGCTACCTTTCATACCATTTGCTAGGTTACTATGACCCATGTAGGCAGGATTAAGAGAACCAACCGATGTTGCCTTGGCCTAGTTAGATTAAGAATTCTAATTGTTTTGTTTCTTTCATTTATTCGCTAATATGGGTGCATAGTTAAGAAAATATAAAGTTGTACCTCAAGGGATGAAAATTATTCAAGAATTGTCACAGGCGAACCTTCTACTGCAATGAAAAATGCTACTTGAAAATTATTTTTGCTTAACAGAGTAACGAACATATGCATTCGGTTTAGCAATTTTTGGTATTCTCAAAGTGATTTGTTACCGAAAGATGCCGCATTAAAAACAAAACAATAAGTAGAGTTACGAATTTTAATTTCAAGTGTTTTCTAACGTTAGTAGGTATGGAAATTAAAATTAGTATGGAAATTAAAATGTGTTATTTCGAAGAAAGTGCCCTAAAGATTTTCCTTCTAAACGTTTGTAGCCCGAGTAGGATTGTTCAGTTTGAGACTTTTTCTTTTTATGTATTCCTTTTTTGTGCTTTTAGATTATGAGGATTAATACTTACTTTTAAAGATTGTCAAAAGTATTAACCGTTTACATATTCCAAATAGCAAATTTATTGTTTATGTAAATTGGTTTTATTGTTATCATACGTAGCAAATCAATTTTATGTTGTCTCATACAAAAAAAATCTAACAGTGGCGCAAGAAATATTAATTGCTTTCGGCTTTCTTCAGACAAAATAATGAAAAAACTAATCTAACAATGTATAATAACATGTACATTTTTGAGAATGTCTGCCCTATGTAGCTAATTTACTCTTTTAATGCTTAACGTCACTGCGTATAATGATATGTAATATGTATACATATATATGTATGTGTTTAAATACATTCCAGTTATGTTTTAGATAAAATACACGTGACCTTCATTACTTTACATGAATAGATACCTATTAGACAATTCTTTTTTTTTTTTATTGCAGCTCTCCTCTAGCAGCTCTTACATTCCGTCTTGGAGTGTGTGTACCAAAAGCCTGTACACCGAGAACAGCAATAAATACTATATTTGGTGGCTTGCAAACAACACCGATTGAGTTTGAGGAATCATACTGCCGTTTGCCAAAAGATAAGCATTGGGTGGCCGGTGATTACGTTGCACTGTAAGTACCTACCTATATATTATTATGTATAATTCATGATTCAAATTTTCCTTGTTGTTCGTCATTTGTTTTCGATAAACAATAAACACATTAGGGACTTTTTCGGTCGATGACTTTTTAATTGGTGAATTTTTAATGTTATTTAATAGTATTAAATAATAAAATAGTAAAAATAGTATTAAATTAATACATGTCAAGTCACGTCATTTACGCGTCACTTACCTCAGTCCCTGACAATTTTATTGTTTTAGGAAAAAAACCTTTATTAAGGTATCGTTAAAGTTATTTAATTGTGAGTACCTACCAAGTGTTTTCGAAAATTAAAGGAAATTTCTGCACAATTCGTGTGTGTTTGTTTTATTTCCAACACATAACTGTTTCTTTTGTTTCAGAGTAATATTTGGGATTTTTATTCTTCTTGTAGCCCTAAGCACAGCATACGATATTCGATATAACGTCTTTCTTCAGAAAGGTAAGACCTTATCACGTAGATTACAATCTAAACATACTTAAAGCCGCACATGAATAAGAAAAATCTGCATTATCATCACAATCACCATTTATGATATTTTGAGCATCAATCATCAAATTATATTACAGTTCACATGGTACACATGTACTTATTACAGGTGTCTAGGTTTCTTTCACGATGTTTGTGAGTAAACCTGGACTTCATTACCTTATATTGTTTAGAAAGTATAAATACCATAGAGTAAGTACAATATTCCGTGGTACTTAGAAATAATTCGGAAAAAGTCACTTAAGTGGAAAAACCTCTATAGGCAGAAAAACTATTTAATAAATCAGTTGTATTGTAACGTAATTACAGAAATAAGTTAGAATGCTAAAAAATACCTATGAATTCCTTACACGCCCCAGTCAACTATAAAAAATAAACAAAACGATTGTTGATAAAGGCCAACAGTGGCGGAATGTGTGTCTTTTTGTATGTTGCCTGTAGCTGACCGTGGCGGCTCAGAAATTGAGAAAACATTCCTATTTGCCATTACTCTAAACCCTACTAATCAGGTATCTATTTTGAGTTTTTTTATAATTCATTAGGTAGTAAAAATTTGTTGTTTAATTTTCTTCCAGACATTATGTAGGTATCTTGAATATAATCACAAAAACTGATAGATATCATTTAATTGGACTTTTGATTATGCAATTACAATTGAAATTGCGGAAATTTTGCAGTATCTAAATTATAATCTATTTTAATCGGCCGTCGTCAACGGTAATCATTTTAAAAATAAAAATCTAATTTTGACACATTTTTCGGAGTGTGTGTGATGTGTGACTCGGTGTAGTGATATGCTTTTTATATAGAATTGTATAAAATAAGTTCGACTACTGAATGGATGAATATAGGTATATACCTACTTAGTTTTACATGAACTGTTTTCCTTCGCCTTCATGTCAGGCAGCTGTCTAAATAGACTTCGGAAGTACATTTAACTCGGAAATCTACTAGCCAGATTTAAAACCCACGACGACAACGACCTTTTCAATTCACTAGTGAATAAATGTAAATAATAAAACAAAATTAATCAATCACCATTTTGATGCAATCAATATTATTTTTTTAATTAATCGATGTGTTAATCTGTAACACCTGTGAGGTGAACACTTTAGTATTTAGTACGAAAACACCCTTTGGGTAGGTATTGTAGATAATCTTATTTTTTACATGAAGTAAAACAATGCTAAAAAAACATTTTGTTGTTTTTTGCATAAGCCTTTGACTGCCGACAGAAAACTGTTGAAAGCATGCAATCTAGCAGTGACATCCATGGCGTTTAACGTGTTAAATTATTTTTTTATCAAAACAATAAAATTTAGAAAAAATAATTTGGAGAAAGGAAATTAATCCTGTATACCTATATTTATCTAAAATGGATGCTAAAACGCCTTTAATTGACGAATATCCTCATTAAAATTATTTTCTGTAGCAGCCCTTTATCATAGAAATAGGTATAATAGATAAAAAAATTGCTACCATCATGTTTCTACGTCTATTATTTTTATCTTTATCATAGTTAAAATCGAAAAATAAGATTTGTTTTTCCATTCCACGTTATCTTCGAAGATAACTATCAGGTTGTAAGTAGTAATTAAAGTATTAAATCTCGTTCGAAATGAGCGATTACAGATTTTGGTATTTCCAATCTGTTTATATACGGGTATGTCATAACAAAATAGCAATCCGATAAGACAGATTAAAAGCACGTGTGAACTATATCATATTTTAAGCGAAATACGTTTCAGAAATAGGTAGGTAATCTAGCAAACCACTAATAGGTATCTTCGCAAGACATGTTCCCCTTATTACAAAACAAGATGTATCTTTAGTCCAGGTTTAAACCATTGAGTCGGGTTTTGAATTTTGAATCTTAAATTCAAAACTCAAAACCCGACTCGTACCTTCAATTCGAAATACAAAAACTGGCTCAATGGTTTAGTCCTAGACTAAAGTAAAACCTTGTTTTGTAATAAGGCCGTAAGTTTAACGATGTCTGGAAATTTGACTAAAAATGTAGACCCTCATTTATTTTATACCATATAGGTATGTGCCATATAAGTGTATTGGGAACTTAAATGCAGATGGTAAAACGAACATTACCCGCGTATTATTTTTAAAAGACCTTTATAAAGCCCAAGAACGCTGGAAAATATAAGCTAAACTACCAACAATATAATTATCAAATGCAACGGAACGCATAAGGTCAAAAGAAACAAATTTAAAATTGATACATTTTATAAACATGGTTCGCTAATTTATGGTTTTAAGAACAAAGAGTAAAAGCGTTATTATCAGAAAATTTTGGGAATACCTAATAATCTGATTATTTTCTAGTAAAATTTATTGTTTGCGAATACCATTTTTAACGCTTATCCTTGATTTTCAACAGATCCGAAGAAAATAAACAAGCTATGTTTAGCTTTCTCAGCCTACACAAATACTCGTCGGCTGGTCACATACAAACCTGTTCCTGGAACCTTGGAATGTCTGGACGGCATCAGATCATTCGCCATGATGTGGGTCATCATTGGTCATACCTTCGTTACTCAAACTCAGAGTCAAATTATGGGGAACCCTGCTGATGCTTTAGCTGTAAGTTTTTGTACTAAAAATACTTAACAAAGTCTAAGAAATCTATATATCTATATTTAACTGTTTGACAAGAAGACTTGATTAGTTACAAGCAAAGCGGGGCTCACAGCAATAATCGCGACAAACAGTTACGTACGTAGGCTGACAAACATCAATATATATGTCTCTCCCTCCCCGTTTTCCTCCCCCTCCCTCTCTCTCTCTTTCTCTTTCTATTTCTCTCTCTCTATTTCTAATTTTAAATGTTTTTTGTGTTTAGTGGATGACGTCACTACAATCCATTTGGATAACAGCAGCTCCTATAACTGTGGACACATTCTTCACGCTAAGTGGTCTTCTACTCGTATATACTACTGCTGGAAAATTGACTAGCTGTAAGTAGCGTAATATTATAATCTATTTCATCATAATCATCTTCATCAACCTTATATTGTAAACTAATAAATACTTTCTCAGTCAGTTCATGTGAGTCAACCGTAAATATCGACTATTTCCAGAAAATTTTGACGAGACTAGACATTCTTACTTACCTATGTACTATTCTAAGTAGTGTTTTAAATCAAAATAACGTATAAAAATTAGCTTACACTAACTATAATACCTGACGTTTAAGGTTACCTCTTTAAGATGTCATAAACGTTCAAACTTTTTTGTTTTTTCAGTAAAATTACTCAAGAATCTCCATCTTTTCTACCTCAACCGTTTGCTTCGGATGTTCCCTGTACTTGCTGCGGTGATTCTGCTGCAAATCTCAATTTTAAACAGAGTTGCTGATGGACCTTATTGGAACGTTGAGATGACGAATACACATAGATGCCGTGTCTTCTGGTGGTCTACTTTGTTACACATACAGAATTATGTCAACCCTAGTCACATGGTGAGTACCTGCCAAAAATCTTTAAACAGTTATAAAATACGAGTATGCTTTATAGAAATAAGGCCTAACCCAAAAAGGTATTTGAATTTGAATCTTAAAATTATGTTTCAATTTTGAAACGTTTTGAAACGTCTTGACTGCACGGTTGGTGCGGTGGCTGGGCGACTGGCTGACGTGCAACGTGTCGCGGGTTCGATTCCCGCACGGAACAACACTTTGTGTGATCTACAAATTGTTGTTTCTGGTCTGGGTGTCATGTTTATGTGACATTGTATGTTTGTAAACGCAGGAGAAAATCCTATAGTAGGGCAACGTTTTTTTTTTTTTAAAAAAAACGCCCTCTGTTTTCTTAGTTAATTCTCTATTCTATTAAATATACGGTAAATTTGTTCAATGAATATAATTCGTATTTTTTCGAAGCTACAATAAAAGAAGAGTTAAAGCAAGCTCAGATGTACTGTACACAATTTCTTCTTAAGTTAAATCTGAACCATGCCGTATTTTTATTTTTTTATGTGATACGCTGGCAAACTAGCAGGCAGATAACCTGATGATAAGCAGTACCAAAGAATGTTGTGTGGTTGCAAGTGCGTTGCCGGCATTACAGGATTAAGGGGTTTCAGGGATTAATGGATTAAAATAGAATGCGGGAGGCGCAGGATTGTACATCCGAAAACCTCACATAAACGGCGAAACACAACGCTGTAGATGTTTCACGCCGGTTACCTGTAAGGCCGTGTTATTAATCGTGTCGATCCGACCCATTCGTATCGAAGCTTAGCTCTCCCACACTTCTTCTTCTCTGTCGTTTCGCTCTTGGCAGAGCAGTCGTGCTCACTTAGAGGCATCCACATCGGTGGTAGAGGCGGACACAGCTCTCCGTACGATCTCCCGCCATCTCTCCCTGTTGGCAGACTGTCTGGTGCAGTCAGATACACGCGTTCCTACTGCCGATTTAACCTGGTCGGTCCAACGCATAGGTGATCTTTCGTGTGGTCTTGTTCCTTCCACCTTTCCCTGAACGACCAGGCGCTCTATGAAATCGCTATCCTGTCTAGAGACACGTCCGAAGTACTGTAAAATGCGCGACTGTACTAAGGTAGATAAACACTGTGTCCTGCTCCCACACTTTTGTTTAATTTTGTACTACATTTCGATGGACTATCTTACTTCTTACTCATCGTTATACAGCCTTAATCTTTGTAGAAACCAATACTAGTATAAAAGACGTACGTGCGTCCAATCACATTAAACTTAGGTACTTATATTGAAAATTGTAGTCAATGACCGAGAAATCCTTCCAACTGTGTTCACAAAAATATACTACAACCTACATAGATAAACTTTGAAATAAAAATCTTATCTAAAAATATATTTCATCTAAATCGTTAAATCCGATGTTAATGATAATACGAGCAATAAATAAATACTCATATTAAAAGATTAACTTGACCTAATGATCTAAAACAATTTTTATTCGTAAAATTGATAAGGAAAGCTAGAAAATATTTTACGAGCGTTTGGGCTTCCTTGAGCCAACAGACTACCTAGATAGGGTTCAACAAGGCTGATGTACATTAAGGATAGCAGTTAAAACGTAAGAATGTACCGTGGGCTTGAAGCAGGAAAAGCATAGGGGTAGTGCTTAGTCAGTAAAGAGTCTGAATATCGCTCTTGTCCGAGTGTCCGCGCTTGAAAAAATAAAATACAATAGTTAATATTCTTGACACTACATAGTTTGTTTAAGTAGTGTTTTCTTTCCTATTATAATGACAAAGATACAATTTTACTGCACGGTTGGCGCGGTGGCTGGGCAACTGGCTGTCGTGCAGCGTGTCGCGGGTTCGATTCCCGCACGGAACAACTCTTTGTGTGATCAACATAATGTTGTTCCGGGTCTGAGTATGATGTGTATCTGAATTTGTATGTTTGAAAACGCGCCCACGACACAGGAGAAAATCCTAGTGTGGGGCAACGTTTTCAAAACAAAAAAAAAATTTGGTTGTGAAAGACTTAGTCAGTATTTACAAGGAGTACCACATTGAAATATTTTTTTTTTGCAAAAACATACCTTTTTGTCACACATTGCCATTGGCATTATAATTTACATTATACTAAAAGGTTTGGTAATTGGTATGTTCAAAAGCTTCTTTGAGTCAATGTATATAACCGAAATTGATTGACTATTTCATATCTGTACTTTCTTTTACAGTGCCTTTCACACTCCTGGTATCTTGCCATAGATGTGCAGCTTCATATCCTTTCGCCGATTGTACTAGTATGGATTCTAACAGGCAAAAGACGACTGGCTTGGTCAGCGCTCGTTGGCTCTTTGATAGCAGTTCTTGCTGCTGCCACTACCTACAACTTCATAAAGAAGTTCCCGTCAGGACCAGTTATACCATCGTAAGTTTTGATTTGAATTTAAATATTTTACTATGTAATATATCGGCAAACGAGCAGACGGTTTACCTGATGGTAAGCAATCAAGCCCAACAACAACAGCAACAGAGGAGTAACGAGTGCGTTGCTGAACTTTTGGGGATTAGGGGTTTGAATATTGAGGGGTTGGGGAGGGGAAGGATTGGGCCTCCGGTAACCTCACTCATACGCCGAAATACAATGCTGTGGTTGTTTCACACCAGTTTTCTTTGAAAGATATGATTGCATATATCACAGTATATGCATGTCATATGGAATAATATGTATAACCTTTTATTGCATACGCATCGCGCATCAATAAGCATATTATCCGTCATGTATAGGTAAACTTGCCTAATTCGTACCTGCGCCTAAATCGTACCTCGTCTATATCTTGGCATGGGTAATAGTTACCAACGCCTCTGATGGCATAAAATGTCAATAATAATCGGCCAGATTGCCATATGACAAATAAACACCTGTTACATTGCTCCCGACAAAATTATTGAACGGGTAAGATTTTTCTCACTTTTTTTCACTTTTTGAGTAATTTTTTTGCATACTTCACAAGAACTGTCTTCCAAGTATACCGTTCATAAGTTGTTTAACTGTTTATTATATATTTATAAGTATATTTGTGAATATATTTCACATGGCAAAGCCGACTTGTTCGTTGACAGTTTTTTTTTGCGGCTAATTTGAAATTCATTTGATACTTGTGCCTAATTCGTACTCGCAGCAACTTCTTAAAACGCACGTACTAACGATTTAGGAAAACAATGTTTAATATCACAGTAAATATTAATTACTTACTTGATTATTTTTTAGTTTGTGTTTTTATTTAATAAAACTAAAAAATAACATTATTTTATGCAGTAATTGTGAAGTATGGGTACATGAGCTATGTGCAAGACGAATTAAAAAAAACTAAACTTTATTACTGCGATGACTTTCAAGATTTGAAAAAGACCATCCGCTGTATTAATAAGAATTAGGTAATCTAGGTACATTAAGATAAAAAAGAGTAGAAGATTATAAAGATTGTGATTTTTAAGACTGTAAAACAATGATAGGATCTCAAAGTACATTTTAAGAATATACTGGTACGATTTAAGATCTATGGTCTTAAATCGTACTTTTTTTAGGTTTTTGAAAATTGTTTATTTCTCAGAAGTTTTTAAGATTTATGTAATATTTTATCGGAATACTAATAGAACATTAGTTTAATTATAACTACTTAATATAAATAACTGTGTATCATTGTTCATTTACAAAATTTTCGAGGTTCTCCTTAAGTGGTACGAATTAGGCAAGTTTACCCTAGATAATTTTCATACGCATAATTATGAGGGGCAATGAAGGAAATGATTAGCTTTTGTTATTCATATTTGAAAATTGTCCGTTGTCTAAAAATTTACAGTCACATTAGGTACAATAGATTCTTAAGAATAAATAAATAAATAAGATTCTGAAACATTGACTCACTCAACTTAAAGCACTCATAAAGATCAGCTCAATTTTTTTTTAGATAGCTAGCTAAGTAAGCAAATATGTAAAACTCAAAAAAAACATCAATCAATTAGGTACTTAATCGGTTTCTATTCTAACTGTATTATTTTGCTTGATATGACGTAATAATGTAAGGGATATGTTATATACAAATTGCTTTCATCATTTTCAGACGCCCGCTAGATACTCCAGATTATTTAATTAACTACTATGTGAACACATTGACGAGAGCATCGCCATTCTTTGTGGGTCTTATATTTGGATACATTTTACATCTAAATCGAGGGAAGAAAATCGTTATAAACTTTGTAAGTAGAAATTTTGCATTACTTTACGAGTATATTAACGTGGCAAACGAGCGTTTGTTCCCAAATTTCAGACCGATTTTTTGAAAATAATTCCCCACACTAGATAGATACTTGCCTTTTTAGTAAACAAACCGACACATTTACATACACATCATACCCATACTCGGGTGGATTGGCAATTTTTGGACCACATAAAGAGTTAATTGTTATTATTTTCGGCTTACTCGCGTAATTCATGAGCAGCATTCCGCGACACGCGACGCGGCGACTGTCACGCTGCGAATATGGGGCTCTAGCATGGCTTGAAACTAGTCGAGTTCCTTGTCAAACAAATACGTGAGTAAGCCGAAAACATAATAATTAATGTTAGTATGCTTCGCGAAAGTTATAATAAAAATACATTAACAGTTGTTCTGCTCGGCCTGATGTCCAGCAACATGTACATCACGTACATTTAGTTGGCGTAGATCAGAAGATATTATTTGAGGAGAAGATAAAACGTCTTTTTTTATTGGGACAAGTCCGCCGCAACCTCCCTAGGCCACTGCAACACCTGTAAGCCAGGATCCACTATAGATATAACCTGTGGATATAACCATGAAAATACCGACTGGAATAAACGAAATAAATTAGAAGATATTTTTAAAGGTGTAAAGTGTGGGAGAGCCATGCTTTGGCACGAATGGGTCGGCTCGACCGGAGTGATACCACGGCCTCACAGAAAACCGGCGTGAAATAACCACAGCGTTGTGTTTTGCCGTGTGAGTGGGGTTACCGGAGGCCCAATCCTTCCCCTCCCCCAATCCCTCCTAAATCCCTAAATCTCCAAATCCCTAATCCCTAAAAGGTCGGCAACGCACTCGTAACTCCTCCGTTGCGAGTGTCCATGGGCGGCGCTGATTGCTTACCATCAGGAAATCCGTATGCTCGTTTGCCGACCCTTTAAATAAAAAAAAAAAAAGGAAAAGAGAAATTGTGAAAGTAACTTATCTGTTTTTATTTTTCAGTACGCCGCAGCAGTTATGTGGATATGTACTACAGTAATTGCCCTCCTCATTGTGTACTCCTCATACCCCATTATGCAGCTTGATTGGGACAACCAATTCGCTGACAGCATGATCAATTCTTTCATGAGACCTGCCTGGGCCATGTTTATCGGCTGGATGATATTAGCTTGTGAACATGGTTATGGAGGTTGGTACTATTTTAAATTAGGTACTTATTTTGAAAATCACAGAACACACAGCTTTGGCTCATATTATATAACACGATTATCAACATAAGGTTTAATTTACTCCCTGCCTTTGTAATGGGTACTGTAAGTCTAATAAAATTTAAGACAACACAAGTCTTGTGGATAAATATAAAAAAGTTAATAAAATATTGATTATTTGTTTGTTCTTTCTTTTCACGGGATCACAATATGATCCCATGATCCGAATTTGTGCATCACACAAAGAGTTGTTCCGTGGCGGAGTTGACACCGGGATACGTTGCACGTCAACCAGTTGCCCAGCCACCGCGCCCGCTGTAGAGTCATAAAGTTAATGTGCGCGAAATGATTATTTCTTAACTGTTCTTGTATTTTTATTTCAGGTCCGGTAAACTGGATACTATCCCTTCGAGCATGGAAGGTGTTAGGACGACTGTCCTACGCAATGTATCTCATTCATTACCCTCTTATGTTCGTTGTTCTCGCGATGCCTATTGCACCAATCTACTTCGATGTTCAATTCTCGGTAAGTTACTATTTTCTATTAAAACTAAACTTTTTAAGTAAAATAATAAAAGTTGTATTTCATTATTTTGAGTCCATATTTTATGTTTACGGAAACGGTGAAGTGAGAATGTGTGGTATACCTACCTAGGTATTCTTTAAAATATATATCGTCGACGCAAGCTCCATCTGTTGATCTTATTTAAAACTTACAAGCTAACGCGCTGTCAATAAACAAGGTAGCCATGCATGATCAAGAACACGTTGTCGTACCTTCAAGTCACGCTTAGTTCACCTTAACATTAACAGATGTCACTTTATTGAAAAGTGTATTAATGGAGTATTAGTATTTTACTTAAGAAAGTACGAATAAAAATGACACGAAATGAGTATTATTTTGGTTTAAAAATAATAATAATTCCAAAGTTTTAAAAATTAGGATTAACAGTGAACTTGTTCTAAGCTTAAAATAAACATTGTTACGGTTCCTAATAAAAGGTAACCAAAACAATATTTTTTTTATATATCACAATTAATTTGGATTTTTATTTTTATTCCAGCTATACAACTTCTTTGCTGACTTCCTATTGGCAGTAGTAGTGGCGTTTATAGTCACTATTATTATTGACTCACCGTGTTCTGTACTTATCAAACATTTCATGGGAGGAGGTAAGTTTATACTTTACTTATCTATTAAGTTTCACGACATTGTCATTTAAATAAACTCTAAAAAATACATTTTGTCATATTTATAATTTTATTTTTTTCTAATGCTTTGTCAAGCTTTGTTTTTATTAGTTATTAAGTAAATGGTTTTCCTTAATTTCGGGAACACAGCAATCAGTCCCCATGTATTTTTTGATCGTGATTGTCAATAAATAAATAAATAATATAGGTACTATAAAACTAAGCGTCAGTCACAGTCAGTCTGTCCCGATAGTCTTATTTATCTTATTAAATGCTTGCGTCCTTCTTTTTCTATATTAATTGCAGTTGGCCATTTATTTTAAACGTTTGTATTGTTTTTCTAGGACCGAAAAGACCACCTCAGAAAATTGCTCCAGCTACAGAAACCGAAATCGTTGAGAAAGAATTGAAAACACAACTATAGATTGATTAATAATATTAATTGATGAACGAATACCTCTAAAAAACAAAAAAAAAACTATTTTTAATAACAATAACGACTGTTAATAATTTAAGTTTAGTTATAAAGGATGTTAAAATAATAAAATTAAAAATATTTCACATTAATTTTTTTTCTTTATTTATTTTTATTACCCCACCAAATTCACTTACTAAGTAACACAATAAATTTTTATTAAATAAATAAGCAAATTTATTTAATAGTTGTGATGATTACAATTTATTTTGTATTTTATTTATTACAATTTTATTTTGTATTTTTTTTTATTTGAGCACCAAGATGCTATACAATTTCTTGTATTTTTTATACATTTTATGCATTTTTTTATTTATTTTTATTTTAGGATAATATTTTATTCCCAGTCTATGTCTCATATCTCACGTATTATGTAGTCAAAATGGACAATGAGTCTCATGAGAACAAGTTAATAATAAATTGTTTGGCAAGCGTTTGTTTCATTATCATTATCAATAAAATTACTATCGCATCACAATTTTATATTATTATTAACTATCACAGATACCTCAATACATAATTGTTTGTTATAGGTAATATTAATTATGATATAAATTACAAAATACTGTTTTACTTCCTCCAAAGAAAATAAAGGATGAATAAAATTTCGATTTCGTGCTATTCCGAAATCAATAAACTATTTTAAAGACTATCTCTAATCTAATGAGAAAAAAATAATGAAATTCTTCCTACCAGCTATATTCATTCAATGTAATTTTAAAGTGAATTCATAGCTTCAATCTGTACATAAATGTGGGTATCAATATGCTTTAATTGCTCCTGACGACACCTTGCTTTAGTGACTGTTACAAAAAGTACTAAAGTAATAATTCTTAAGTTCCAAGTTCCAACATAACCCGAAGTACATCAATTAGTTAACTTTATCTCTGATGCAATCCCTAAACTCAATCAAGATCACAAAAAGAGATCGCAACAATTTTCCGCATTCATTAAAATAATAACTAAATAACATAATTATTAATTTATCTATGTTTCAAAAATTTGCTAACATAACACATGAATTTATTTGAAAATTCATTTGTCAATCGGTATCTTAATGCTAAGTATGCTAGCGACCTGTGAAGAACTGTAAAACCTATTAAGCCAGCAACTTGAATCATATAAGTATCCCCTTCCATACCCAAATCTCTTATTAATAACTTAGGCTCTGAATAAAGACAGAATTCTTGATTACATTCCATTTTCTGTCTGTTTTGGTACAAGGCGATTGAAAATCCTGTTACGCCGTATCGAAGGAACGAGATTGACATGAGTGCTTTCATTGTGGCTTCGATGTAGGGTCCAAAGCCCATGCCGTAACACGACAAGGCGAGTAGAGGAGCAGCAGTGGCTGGTGCTACAATGGAACCATTCTGTAACAAAATATTAATTCATAAAAAAGTACAAAACCAATTAACGTTGACACACTATATGGAAGGATTGATGGATATGGTAGCATAATCTGGTAAATGTGACTTATCCGAGTTATAATTATGTATTTTTGCAGTTTATAGACTCCACTTACAAAATGGTGATAGGTAGAACAATATCGCGAGGAAATCTGCTTTTATGATAAGTTTGAAATAAATTCAACTTGAACAAGTATGGTGACTCATCAAACCTTCGTGTGACAAGAGATCTTTGCTCAGCATTGGGGACTTATACGGTGATCATGTTATGGGACTTGTATTTTTCGGTTTTGAGAAAAGAAGCTAATGACCTCAAGGTAGGTTAGCCTCAAGGTAACTACATCACATTCGCCTATAAATATGACGCTAGGAGGCAAAAATGACCTATCGATGTATGCCTAGTAGCGGCAAATTTTTTCTCACACAGCAAACATCCCTACACTAACAAATTTAAAAAAGTAAACAATAAGTATACTTACAGTGACGTTAAAAGCAGACCCTACAGCTAATCCAAGTCCTTCAGAACATGTTGCAATGAGCAAACCAGCGATCGAGAATAATATAAAGCGATCCCATTCCAATAATTGACCAGACATCAAATACGCGATAATCAGGAAGATTATTCCAAGAATTACCTGAAATCAGAATGCTTATATTATATATCTATTTAAAGAATTTATTAAGGTGCCTTCGTTTTTTCAGAATAAGGGACAGTGATCAATTTATAAGACAAGGGTTTAAATTATTTACTAACTCAATGATCAACATAATGATAAGGTCGTTGATATTGTTGTATTTCGATGTTAGAAGTGTCCAGGTGCAGTACTTTTTGCTTACCATCAGGTAACCTGTTTACTCGTTTGCGTAAATGGTGATCGAGGAGCTCTAAAATTTCCATTCGATATAAAAATACTCTTTATCAAATGTACATAACTTTTTTATTCTAATTATTCTAAGGTCCTTTTGCTAGTGAAGGGGCCCAGTACTCTTGGGGCCAAGTTTTAATTGTGGTGTCAAAAAGTTTTACTGTAATTTTTACTTACCATATTTGGAATACTAGCAATTGTTAGAGCCGCATAGTAAGCTTTTAAACTATACCAACGATTAAAATATTCTCGTCGAAGTAAACGTACTTGGAACGGAACTGTAAAATAAAAAAAATAGTTTTAAGAACATACAATTTTATTTGAAGAGAAAGTTTTATGTAATAGAATTATAGTAACTTATATTAACGACTTCATGTAAAAAGAGATTTTCGATGTTAAAAAAACTTAGTTCAAAGTGAACCTTGTGTGTATATTCAACAAGAATCAATTTGTCTTGTTTTCATTACAAAAAGTTTGACTTTAACTTTAGACACACTTTTGTTTACTATTTATTAGAAAAAAAAAAGGTTTTTATCCTACAATTAATATCAATGTGAAAGCTTGTTAGACTGTATATTTGTTACTAATTCACGCAAAAAGCTCGACCGATTAGGTTGAGATTTGGTTTGTAGATAGTTGACGACCTGAGTTAACACATAGGCTGTTTTTTGTACGGAAGCTACTAGTATGGAAGGAAAAAAAACCTATACTTACATATGAGAACAGGTATCATAGTATGGGTATACATGAAAAAGACCAAGCAACTCAGACAGAATTTAAAGTTGACTACAGGGTTCGCCGCGTTGTTACCCACATCGAAGAATATGCTGCCCAGAAGTATAGCTGATAAAACGTGGTGAATAAATTGAATCCACATTGATGTCTGAAAAAAAAAAGTAGTAAATTAATTATTAAAAAGATAACTAAACTTTACTTAACTATAGAAACTGTCACGGAACAAGTGAAAATACATATTAAGATAAAAAAGTTTGGAAAGAATGTGATTGAGCTTTTCACAACTTCAAGAAGTAGGGTTTCTGTTATTTTTAACATTTTCCGTACAAACTATATACATAACGAAATTCATTTGATTCCTTGTTTTCGTGATATAGCTAGAGCTATATAAGAGACTTAAAATAAGTTATATAATTAAGCCATTAAAAAAAACAATAATTAGAAAATAATGAAAATTTAACTGTTTTTTTTTATATATATGTACATATTTCTAACAGTTTTCCTTACCGTATTCCTGCTGTTTTGTATGAACATTCGTTTGCTTAATATAAGAAATTGTGTCCAAAATGACGTCGGAAATTCTACTTTGGAAAGCTGGTCTTTCGCCACGTGTTCCGTAAATATTCTTTGTATTGACTCCTCTGAGTGCAGCACAGGTTTTCTGAAAAAAATAATTACAAAATCAATACTTAATTTTTATAATAAAATAGTGGTGATTCACAGTCACCGAGCTATTCTCGTATATTTCTATGTATTTACATGGTCTCGGAAATAGCTCCCACGGTCCCGATGTGTTTTTTTTTTTTTGTAAAAAGCACTGGTCCAATTCCGAGACTAAAATTATTTATTAATAAATTTTAGTAATACTACAAAGTTACTTTCTCTATCCATTCGCTTAAATCTTTAAAACGACGCAACTGATTTTCATGCATTTCTATTAAAAGAGTGATTGGAGCGAAAGGTTACTAGCTGCCCATCTTGTCTATTACATAAACTCCAATATAAACAGTAACTGTAACTCACCGGCTTCCGGGCATCATTCTTTCAAGTCTTCTGCATAGTTTTCCATTTTGACACAGCTCTGATAAAGGAGCAGAAGTTTCTATATCCGTTGCGAGGGTTTCCAGCACAAAGTCAGCTGGGTTGTGGGTCTTGGGGCATATGTGACCAGCTTCTGCCAAGAATGGCACTATTAGCTGAGGGGCACCCTGGAAAAAGAAAATTCTATTATTGGCTATATTTATTAAAACATGTTTTTTGTTATAAATCTATACTCGAGTTATGTGGCTAATTTGTTATATAAATCTATACTCGAGTTATGTGGCTAAAGATTTTCTTTGTTCAAACGCACTTATTTTTGGAACTACTGATTAGAATTGAAATATTTTTTAACCCATAGTTCATACAAATTTCTATATTCATTATCTATATTCATTAAATACCTCCTACCTGCATATTGTGAAACCGTTAGATGTTTTTTTTTTTTTTTTAAAAATGATTTCATTCCCTATGTTGTACTAAAGATAACATAATTATTAAGTACTTCTTTTTTTACATGGTTTTATTCAACTTGCAATCTGTAAATGAATATTTGTGAAAAGAAAATTTTAATCATATACCTTCAATTGATTGATCTGATCTATACTATCTAATATTATAAAGAGGTAAAATTTGTAAGTTTGTAAGTTGTATGTAGGGGGTAATCTTTGAAACTACTGGTCGAGTTTCCGAAATTCTTTCACTGATAGATAGCTACAATATTTTTGAGTGTTATAAAACATCACGCTACGATCTGTAGAAGCTGAGCAGCGGGTGAAACCGCACGAGAGTAGCTAGTCTTTTATATACACGTTTAGTATTGATGACAATCAATCCAAAGCTTGCCTTTACTCAAATTTTAAATATGCTTCTGGATTACTGATAAAGGTGACTTATAGTAAAATCTCTAAAGAAAAATAACTCTATTCATCATTTCTAAACAAAAATAATAAATTACTTTTTCAATAGTTTTGTCTATCCATTGAGAGTATGTATACCTTCTGATCCTTAAAAGACCCCTTGTGTATACCTACGTCCTTAATCGCCTACCTGACCTACCTTACCCACCTTAATATTTCAAACTTCATATCACAGTAAAATGTAATAATATGTTTATAGTACAAGTTTTTATGACACAACCAAAGTTAAGTCATGAATAACTTAGTGTGATCTTAATTCTCGTTTAAGTACTAAATACTTGTGTCTAAACTTTAAACCTGTTTAATGCCGGTGTTAACTTGGGGAGTAAATCTTAAAACATTGTCACTTTAATGATCACATTTTGGAAGGATTCGGTTTCTATGTCATGTAATATTTTTGAGTGCTCAATTTGGAGTTCTATGAGAATGTTCAGTTCGGCTTATTTTATGTCGGTATAGTAATGCAGTTTTATCATCATCATCAGCCTATAAGTGCCCACTGCTACGCAAAGGCTTCTTCTCACACGGAGAAGGCTTGAGCGTTCATCACTACGAAAGTGGATTAGCGATTTCAAACTTATAATTAGATATTACGAGTCCAGGTTTCCTAACGTTTTCCATGACCACACGTTAGTGGTGTCTAAATAACCATAAATGTACACTTAACTCGGAAAACTCTCATTGCCAGGTTTCGAGACCGCACAAGTAAGAAAAGCGGGTGCCTGAACCTCCAGGCCACCACGATATGATTTTTTAATGCCTTTTTATGAATTCTGATTTTCTAGATTTTATTTTCAGTTACACCATGTTCAATACTTTTTGTTATCAGAACTATTTTAAAGTTTTTTTTGTTACCCACAGGATGTTACGATGATTACAGGTCAAATATCACAATTTGGAATCTCCGATTATCATTAAGATTGCAGTAGTAACAAAACTTAGATAAGGTTTAGTAACGTGATTGGAATTTTAGAGACTTTCACTTTTTTGTATATTTTAGGTCTGAATAGAATAAGTCTAGACTTCACCACATGATCAAAAAACAAAGAAACTTTAAAACAAGCATTATATAAAATTATTTATAAATATTTTGATAAAAAGAACATCTCGAATAGGGTGACAAACTCGCAAAATCGAATAGATTTTAAAATAATCGCCATAAAAGGGTTTTATATCTAAACCATTACTCACGCGAGGGTTAAGTGAAACATTCTGAAGTTATGACAGACTATTATCGAGACATCATTTTAGGGTTAAACACGTATCGTTGCTATAAAGTTTATGTAGTCACCGCCCTTGTACTTAAACGCGTTAAGTGAGAATTAAGTAAACGTGTTTGTAGGATTTGTTTGAAAACCTGTGACTATGTAAGCCACAATTTAAAGCGTAAAATAAGAAAAAGAAGCTTGCCTTTTCATTTTATACAATTTTTAAGTGATACTAAATTAATACTTTTTTATGTAATAGGCCGGCAAACGAGCAAACGCATTACCTGGTGGTAAGCAATCAGCGCCGCCCATAGACACTCGCAATACCAAATGGAGTTACTACAAGTGCGTTGCCGGCCTGTTGTCGGTTATTCGAAGGATAGGGGATTTGAGGATAGAGGAAGTGAGGAGAAATTGGGCCTCCAGTAACCTCACTCACACAGTGAATACATACTCCGGCACGAATGGGTCAGCTCAGCAATACCACGGCCTCACAAAAAACTGGCGTGAATAATCTTTCCCCTCTCCCAATTCCTCCCTAATCCCAAAATCCCCAACTTCCTGATCTCTGATCTGAAAAACTGTCCTTAAAAAATTTACATACCCTTTGTTTTTAATGACTTGATATTTGCAGTGATAGTTAATTTAATAAAACTAATGGAATCTCCATATAAGCATTTTGCAACTCAAATCTGTATGAATAACATTGATCTATTTGATGTCTATTACAGATTTTGATTTTATCCTCAACATTCATTAGATAATTATTTTGCTAAACGATTGTAATTGTTTGATTTCTAAGGATTGAAATGTTTTAATTGATCGGTCGATTGTTTGAGCACAGATATATTCAAACCACAGAACAAAAAAGTACGTAGGAGAGCCGTCTTCGGTACAATGGGCTGGAATAATACCATGGCCTGATAGAATCTGATCGTGTTTTGTTTCACCGTGTAAGTCAAATAAGCGAAGGCTCAAAAATGCCCTTGTCCTTTTGGGGGCTAAAACTCTATGGATATGCCACCGATAATGCTCGCGCCGATTGATCTCCACCAGGTTCTTCGTTCATCTGTGTGCTCATTGGGATTTTATTAGCTGTGGATAGTGGCTTATTTTATATTTACAGGATGTGTATAATTGAAATAATTGATTCGACTTTGACTTTGATGGCAGCTAGCTTAGCTTAGCTTCTCAATAAAATGAATGAACCGGTTTGAGTGGGTTTTTTTACAAAATTACTATCGCAAAACGTGCTAAACTAATGAGGGTTTTTTGAAATCCCCCCGTGAGATGGCAGCATTGTTACTTCAGGTCCAACTACCTGTCAAAACACATGCACGATTTATATTTTATCGATCATTTTTTTTATTCTTAAAAACGACATTATAAAAACACTTTTTTTGAAAACAATTGGCATTTTGGAAAACAATATTCCATTTGTAACGTTTTTTAAGAATAAATAAAACCAAAAAAAAATCAATAGGAGGACATAGGTTCCCTGCAGACGATAAAAGCCGATTAAAACAGGGGCTTGTAGCCATAATAAAATCAATAACACATCCAAATACATATAATTTTACTAAAATAATAATACGTTTGCTAAGAATCTGTGTTATCTGACAGCTGTTTGGACATGACGCATACGAAATCCGATTGGCCCCCAAAATGCCCTTGTCCTTTTCGGGGATCTTTCTCTTTCTTTCTCTATGGATATGCCACCGATGATGCTGGCGCCGATTGGTCACCACGAGGTTCATCGTTCACCTGTATGCTCATTCGGATTTCATAAGCTGCGGATGGTGGCTTATTTTATATTTAAAGGAAGGGGATGTGTATAATTGAAATAATTGATTTGACTTTGACTTTGATGGCAGCTAGCTTAGCTTAGCTTCTCAATAAAATGAATGAACCGGTTTGAGTGGGTTTTTTTTACAAAATTACAATCGCAAAGCATGCTAAATTACTTAGATAAAGTGGTGAATTTATCTAAAAATAACGATACACGAGAATCCTAACAAAATATACGAAATCTTAAAGTAACTTTCAAATTATCAATATGTATATAAGTAGGTATACCTTTATCGTGGAATAAAAGTTGTAACATAATATAACGCTATATCAAAATAACTTTGAAAAGGAAATTGATACCAAATCAATACCTCGTAAACAGCTTATAAACTTGAGAAGAGGAATAAAACAAATGTTTGCAGAAGTTTCGCCGCTTCTGTATTAGTTGCGAATAAATCAAACGCTCAAAGTATGTGGGAGTTAGACGGATGAAACTTTTATATCGCAGTTATTCATAAATCTTTATCTTTTAAGAAAGGTACTACATTGATTCTTTAACAATTTGTTTTTTGATATTGTTACTTTTTTTTATATGTAATAGATCGGCAAACGAGCAGACGGATCACCTGATGGTAAGCAATCAGCGTTGCCCATGGACACCCGCAACGGCCTTCGCTTCGACTTTTTGGGGATTAGGGATTCGAGATTTTGGGAAAGGGAACGGATTGGTGGAGAGAAAAGATTGGGCCTCCGGTAACCTCACTCACAATGCGAAACACAACTCTTTGGTTATTTCACGCCGGTTTTCTGTGAGGCCGTGGTATCACTCCGGTCGAGCCGACCCATTCGTGCCGAAGCATGACTCTCCCATTCTTAGGAGGGAGATTTATTTACACACACACACTAGGATTCTGTTTTATGGTGGTTTATAAGAGCACTGTCAGGTTTTGGAAGGAAGTATCTTCAAAGTCAAAGTCAAAGTCAAAATCATTTATTCCAACTAAACCATAAATAGGTACTTTTGAAACGTCAAAATAGAGAAGTGGTCTGTCAGTCTGTTCGTCAGTGAAGCTAGGTGCTCATTCCAAATTGTAGATTCGAATGGAGAAGAACGAGCAAGAAACTCCATCGTCTAATCTTCTGTCTCAGTCCTCGGTTTCTAATCGAATCAAAATTACAGGTGTAATGTTATGATAATGAAATATCTATGTAAATTGGTAATTTCTACATCGTGCTATGATGTCTTTAAACTGAAAGCACTTAAATAATTTCAACGAAAACTATTTGTAGTAATCACCGGCGTCAGGTGTGCGGCGTCCTTTTCTGAATACTAATGATGAACATTTAAATTAATTAAAAACTTTTAATAGTTACCAAAAATATTTCTAACTTCTTGCTCAGGTTTTAAAAAAGAAACTTTAAAAATGCTGAAGGTAGATCAATCTAAGTCTTTATTCAGATTAATCACTTTAATTTTTTATTTTAGAAATTGAACAGCATAATTAAATTACTTTATTATTATGAGACGATTGATAACATATTTACGAGAATTCTTTAAATAACTAAAATTATGTTACCATTTTATTTCGAAGATGAATGATATATTCGTTATCTATCATTATTATTTATGTTTAAAAAATATTTCTAACCAAAACTGGATTATTTTTCTATTTAAAATGATTTCAATACCTTAGCATTCACTGTCTCCAATGTTAAATAGCATTTTGTTCATATAACGAAATTTAAGGATTTTATCAAAGGCTTTGTTCCTTAAGCATTATATATCACATCATCAGCTTTGAAGTGCCTACTACTGCGCAACGGCCTCTTTTCACACGGAGAAGGTTTGAGCATTAATCGCCGCGCTTTCTCAAGGCGGATTGGTGATTTCAAACTTATAATTAGAAATTACAAGTCCGGGTTTTCTCACGATGTTTTCCTTCACCTCATATCTCAGTGGTGTTTAAATTTATAGACATTACATATAACTAGGAAAAAGTCACATTAGTACTTGCTTGGTTTCGAACCCTTACCCTATGCATATATGATACAAATCATGCATGAAAACGGGCGCCTTAAGCACTAGGCCTCTATGATTTGTACGCATACTGCAACAAATTCCTTTTAAAATTTTCGGAAACTCCTTCACAACTACATCAGTCCCATACCACAAACCGAAGCCCTTTTGAAAGTAAGAGGAAACCAATTAAATTGGTGACGTAAGTAAATCAAAACGTGACGATTTTAATGAATAAACCATTTGATTAGGGTATCAAGGAACTTTCTGTTGATTGACACCTTTCCTGATAGGAAGTTGGATAATTAGTTTGTAAAACAATCTAAGTTTCGTAGTGGCTCGACTATTTGTAAGGTATTGTGTGCGTGATGTAAATATCTTATTACTGGACCTCTTCATTTTCCGCCCGAGTTCCCAATATTTGACTAATTCGTTTACAAACTGCAAAAGTCGTGATGGTCCAGAGGGCTCGTTTCTCATGAATGAGGGCGCGTGTTTTACCTAAACCTGATGAGTATTAATGTGACTTTTTTATAGTTTCACCTTCGTACTTTCTAATTGTATTTAGACACTACTGATAAATGATGAAGGAAAACCATCTTAACGAAACATTGACTTATATTGTTATAAAATTGAAAAGACTTATACATATACTTTATGCAAGCATGGTGAATAATGCTTAAAGCTTCTGCGTGTGAGTAGGCGCCTTTGCTAAGTAGTAGGCACTAATGGGGTGATGATGATGATGGGTTTAAACAAGAGGCAGTTTGATGAGAGTGCGTCCAATCATCTCTGCTCATAATTCTTGAAAGTTTTATCATATGTTTCTAATTTTGTCATTTAGAAAAATAAATTCTACGTTCACGTATTTACGTTAGGTTAAAAATATCTACAAATCATATAAAACTAGCTCATCTTGTTCAATTACACCCGCTGTTCGTTTATTGTTGGTTGTAGCTCGATATTATTATATCCCTCATCAAAAATGAACTAACCATAACCAACACAAAAAATATCCAATTAAGTAAAAGTAGTTCCGGAAATTAGCGCGTTCAAACAAAGAAACGAATAAACTATTTAGTTCGCCAATATTAATGTATAGATTCAAAAGTAAAATCATTAAAACGGGGCACTTGCTTTGATCACTTTAAGTTAATTAAGTGAAAAGAATCTGTTTTATTAAACTAGGAATGACGAATGTGACTCGAGTAAGATCTTATTAGTAGCCATTACCTTATTTTAATAAAAATCAATTGCCCCTGTCTTCTTTTTTTGCGAATCTCAAAAACAGTATATTTTTAAGTCAGTACATAGTAAATAATTACCTGATAACAGCACATTCCTCGAGCCAACACGTATATTCTATCAAAGAGAGCAAAGAGTGACGCTGACGGTTGATGGACGGTGCAAACGATGGTTCTGCCTTGACGGGACAGGAGACGAAGTAAAACCACCAGCTGACGGATCGACACGATATCCAGACCACTGTAATAAAAAACAATGTTAATTATTAAATTAAAATATCTATAATTTTGTAAGGAAATATCTAAAAAGAAATATGTTTATTCTAGTTGCCGTAAAGTGTTTTTTCTGTTCTTTCTAAAAACAAAAGGTTTTTAATTTTTTTAGTTTGTATATACAAAGTGAAAGAGTGCATAATTACCTAAACATTGGATACAAAAACATAATGTATCACTAAATAAAAATACATTACCAATAAAAATAATGTATATTAAAAGCATTTCAAATCTAACAAGATTCGTGAATTTCATTAAAATAACCCTATCATCTATAGATATTTTTACTACAACTTAAGTAATTGAAAATTTTCAGCAGAAAATTCATAGTAAACACAGTATTTTACACTCTGCAATGAGCATTGTTTTATTATCCTTAAATTTTACGCTTTGTTGACAAGCCTAAGCAAACGAAATTGAGTTATGACCCCATGAAGTTAAATACGGTTAAAATTAAAGCCTGTTACAAAATTTTACAGGCATGAGTTTGTTAGGTAGGCAACTTTTATGTTTTGTGTATGAAAATGTGATGACGACTGAAAATATGAGTAAATAAATATATTTAATGTGTTCTTGCAGAAAAATATGTTCTATTTGAAATAAATTTAATTTTTATTTTAAATTTAAAGAAAACATCTCGGACTTCGAACATTCAATTTTTAAATTATCAGCTACATTATGCTTTTATTTACCCACATTTATTGCCGAAACATTAAGTAACTAAAAATAATATGTTACACAATTATTTAAAAGTAACGTACTTAGCTAATTAAATATGTAATATACACATAATAACACATAGTAAATAATTACCACAAAGACGTCAATGACACAATTTACAAACGACTTAGTTTAAAATAATTGCTTTTTGCGGTAAAAACAACAAGATGCACATGGCCAAGTGTAACTCACAAGAAATATATTAAGTTACAAGGTCATTATAGATAAATACTTGTTATATTTCTTATAAATCCCGGCCACATCATTATTATAATATAACCATGAACTACAAAAGGTTGGGTGGATTGTCATTATAGGTATTATTATATTCTTTAAGGATTTTGTTGGTCCTTCGAGACAAAATGTATTTGAAATATATCTTAGTTTTTTCGAAAAAGAGATATTTGAGAGATAATGGTAATAATATAAGTAGGTCATTCAATGTAAGGTCAAGTTCTTTTTTTTATAAAATTATACCAACCGGCCTTTGTTTTTCTGTCATCCATTTACTATAGCGTCTATAATATAGTTTATTACGTAGTAGGAACTTTAAAATCAAAAATAAGTCCTTTATTAAATTTCTGAACAAAATACAGCAAAGAAATGAACGGGAAATATTCTAATTACTGACAATTCCATGTTCCAGATCTTTCATTTTGTTTTATTAGACAAATTGAACATGTATCCTAAATCAAACCGAAACAGACATCCCACGCGTAAATCCCATACGGTACCAACATAATGAATAAATTAGTGCATTTCCAATGAAAGTGTTTGAGTATTAATGTACCTAGAGCGCCACTTTTCTTTATTGATCTCTAAGATGTAACAAAATAGTAGTGTAAAGTGTAAAATAGCCATGTTAGGTTTATAAACTAAATATAGGTTGATTGTGTACTAAGCTATTCATAAAATATAATTATAAAAAAAGTTTTTTATAAATTTAGTAAAATAAAGAAATTACTTTTGATGTAAGACAAAACCATATCGTCAATGCAAGAACTTTAAATTCTAGTCTTTAAATTCTAAAGAAGTAATACATTATACAAGTCAAAATATTCGAAATCATTTTTATCCCAACTTAACCATAAACAGATGCTTTCCAAACGTCTGTTCGTCATTGAAGCTTCAGCAATCTTATCATTATCTAATTAATACTGACACTACACGGTTCGTCCCAAAGGACCACGATCAAATTAGTGCAACACAAAAGCGTTATCCTCAAAAAGGTCCCACAAATCAGTTTCAAGGGTCCTACTAACAATTTTTGACAAAATGGCCACTCTCGATGGATTGAGTACATGCTGTGATTCCGTAAACACGTTTCAGGTTAAACGTCCTATAAAAGGTTATGGAGGAACCTAGTGATTAAGCCAATTACCTTCCATTGTACTTATATAATTTTGTTTAGCTTTCCAATTGGGTCGGACCTTTTGGGCAATAGATATTAATGAATTGCCTCAAAGATATCGAGCTTTCAAAAGATTGCTGTTCAGCTTGGATTCAGGATGAATACAGATTACAGTCTATTTTGTTAGGAAATTTTCTCTTTCAATCTCTTTAGTTACATTAGAAGGGTGCCTTATGTAACTCTGTACCTAACGATTGGGCAATTCGCATTGAAATACTTAATTAAATAATTTCATCAATAGCACAAGTCATTTATTTAAGAATTAAATGGACTTTGCCCAAAATGGAACAATATTTCGGAGAGGAAATAAGGTTTACCTGATGTTTATTAGAAACAATCCAATTTTTTACATGCCCTTTCCCGGATGACGAACAAGAAAACACGTTAACCTTATTACTGAATAAGGGTTAAATTAAATAAGGGCATTTTCCTTGTCCATAAGAAGGCTTGGTCCAGAAAAATTGTTTTGCTAACATATGAGGGCCATAATGGCTCCAATTACTCATGTCTAATCCGTGGATTATGTTTTTCCTCAAACGTACGCATTATTCTTCTTATGGCTGTGTCTAATTGTTTTTTTTTAACCCGCCCCTTGTACCAGGCGTTTCATCATTGAGGTTGAAAAACACGGAATATTTTCAGGTTCTTTGTGATCTTGGCACGGTTAAGGAATTGAAATGTTTTTGTTTGTAACGTAAAATGATATTTTCTTTAAAATAATGAATCAATTATTATTGTAAGTGCCAAAAAGTATTTTACGAACCTTGCGTGTATAGAAATATGATAAAACAAAACTTACGTTGTGGGCTCATCCAAAAAGATGATAGGTGGGTTATTGACCAGCTCTAGGGCAACAGACAGCCTCTTCATTTGACCTCCCGATAGTTTTTCAGTCATTGTGTTCCTGTGATTCCATAAACCAAGAGTTTGAAGAATTTCTTCTACCTGAAACAATGTAATAAAAACATTGACGAAGCGGTACTTTTTTGTAAGCCCAAAGAGCAGACGGCTTGGTAGTAATAAGAATAAGGTGTCTTAAACAAGTGCGTTGCCTGTTTTTTGAGAATTGCTAGGTATGTATTTGGGGGGTTTTGGGGATTAGAGATATGGTGGCAGATGGCAGTGAAGAAAAGATTGATCCTCCGATAACCTTACCTGCTCATACAAAAAACAACATAAGCGTTCTTTCACGCCAGTTTTCTGGAAGTTCGTGGTATCAGCAAGGTCTTATTTTTTGTGAGATCTTAATCATATAACATTATTTCAAAGGAACAGCGGTCAGTGACTGATCTCTTTAGTATCCAATCTAAACTTTTCATGGTCCAATATAAAGCAAACGTGACTTAATCTGATTCAAAAGAAGTCTTCATCAAACTTAGAATGAGAATAATTTCTAATTAGAATCTTATAGATCTGTTTTTACAATTTAATTTTGTATATTCTATATATTTGTTAATATCGACTTTCGTGATCTATCTGTGGTTTCAATCTAAATTGTATATCATTATATATACTATGAACAAAAACAATTTCATAATAGTTATGAAATTATTTTTGTTCAAACTTAGGATTAGGATTTCGTAGGATCAAATCGTCAATATCCCCAAATAATAAAAATACCTTTGGATAAATGTTTTATGTTGGTAAACAATGCATATCTTATTACATTTTATAATATTGTTTGCAAAAATAACTGAAATAGCGTTATTACTCGTGTTTCTATAATTGATGGATATTTTAACACGATTGTTATTATTATTTATTGAGCCAATAGACCATATCGGGCCCTATAGGCTGATGTTGAGCCAAAGCTCGGGAAGGGGGGGGGGGGGGGGGGTGTCTGTTAGTTTGACTCTCTCTCTCATCTTATCTTCGCCGGTAGAAGTCATTTGATGATTTAAAAAAGCGGCATTTACTCACTACAATTTTCTGTTACGTGAGGAACTGAGGATATAATTCATACCTCTCACGGTATTCAGGATATAACTCAGCCATGATGACTTTTGACTTTTGATGATTAATAATTACTACATTAAATTAATAACTTAATATCTTTTTTACTTCCGTTTCTTAATATAACTACTATGTAATAAACACAGATAAACCTTTAATTGCCAACATATTGATATTGAAATTTAAAGGGCATTTGTTCATGCTTGCTTGCTTGACATTCCTTTCTTCCTACAAGTTATATTTAGTAAACATTTTATCAATATTGACGTATAATGTCATATTAAAATAGCTTTTGGAATAAATTTTTATTTATGGCATATTTTATTTTATTATTGTGGCATTTTCTTCTTATTATAATGTGTACGTTAAATTGTGACCTCTTCTGACAACAACAACTGCCTTTGTTCCTGATTGAATAATTATGACATACTCGTACGTCTTTGTATTACTCGTAATATGTCAGTAAGTATCTTGTAACATTTTAAATTGATTGAGAATAACGACATACTAACTTATTGAATAAACTGAGAAACGCTCTACTAGTTTGAAATCACAACTGGTATATTATACACAGGCGGCGTGCGCGTCGCTGCAACGCACCCGAATGAAACAATACATTTGTTACAAGTGTGTTAGTGTGGGAGAGCCATATATACTTAAGCACGAATGGGTCGGCTCGACCGGATCACCGGAGTGATACCACGGCCCTCATAGAAAACCATGAAACAACCACAACGTTGTGTTTCGACGTGTAAGTGAGGTTACCGGAGGCCCAATCTTTCCAATCCCCCAATACTGAAAATCTCCAAATTCCATAATTCCCAAAAGGTCGGCAACGCACTCGTAACTCTTCTATTGTTTTGGGTGCCCATAGGTGACGTTGATTGCTTATCATCAGGTCCGTGAGCTCGTATAACATGCCTACGTATAACATAAAAAAAATTAGGGAACATAACTATAATATATAATAAATTATATAAGTAACTAGCTACTCTCACGCGGTTCCACCCGCTGCTCGGCTCTGTTTGTTCGTAGTATGATGTTTTGTAGCCTATAGCACACAGGAACATTATAGCTATCTATCAGTTAAAGAATTTTGGCAATCCGACCAGCGGTTCCAAAGATTACCCCCTACATACAAACTTACAAATTTTACCTCTTCATAATATTAGTATAGATACCCGATTCTTTTCAATTTCGATTTATCTATTTACACTAAGATGTCTTCGCCTGTCATTAACACCCTCACAACCAAACACATCGACAATACTCTTAATAAAAATGTCACACTTACTATGAGTTCCTTCTCAGCCTTCCCCAGCTCTTTGCCGAGCTTCAAGTTCGCTGCTGTGACCATTGACTCCTGCACTGTCAATCTTGGCTGCAGCAGGTCTTCCTGCATGATGTAAGTACTTAATTTCTTGAACAGTTTCATTTCACGCGTGTGACCATTCACTGTTATTCTGCCTTTTACTCCGTTTGAACTGCAAAAGAAGATACATTTATAATATAAAAGATTTTTTCATGTTTTTATATTGTGCTTAAAGTATGTGAGGAGCGGGTAAAAGATGGTGCCAGTTCCAATTGTGCTAGAAGTATACGAGGAGCTATTAAAGAATGGTGCCGGTTTCACTTAAGACATGGCCCTCCCTTATCTGGTCCTCCAATTGTAAGGTCCACGAATGTGTATTTTCCCTTAATTAATAAATGTATTGAAATTATTAAGTCTGGGACCAATCAAATCAATTATTTTAAAACTTTCAAATAAAATTTTAATCTAAAAATGTTTTATTCCTTTCTAATACATTATGTTATATTAAGTATTATCAAATTACCGATAGACGCACGTGAAAACACCGAGAATGTCGCAAAGCCGACTTATTTCGTCACTACAACGTGCACGCTGCTATTAAAAAATAGCCCCGTTGTGACTTGATAGTCTCATGTCAAAAACCTTACCTCAGTGAATATACGTGACTAATGCCCGGTTCCTATAATTGAGAAACGATCCGTTTTAGTTACGAATAGTAGTTTTATATACGACTCGTAAGCTAAAACCGTTCCTATAACAAACGTCTCGTCGTGCAACTTACTGACGGTTTGCAACTAACGGATGTCGGTAAGCGAATTGTATGGAGATCTATGGTGTCTGTGGTGTTCCTATAAATATTTTAACCGTCAGTAGACGGTCAAGATAACTATTCGTAATGTCATTTGGTCGTAATGTGTATACAACGACGATTCGTTAAATATAGGAACCGGGCATTAGTCACCATAGATCTCCATACAATTCGCTTACCGATATCCGTTCGTTGCAAACCGTCAGTAAGTTGCACGACGAGACGTTTATTATAGGAACGGTTTAAGCTTACGAGTCATATATAAAACTACTATTCGTTATTAAAACGGATCGTTTCTCAATTATAGGAACCGGGCGTTAGTCTCACGATAGTCACTTTTCAACATAGTGTAACTACATGTTTAAAATTAGTATGGAATTATTGGTAGCTTCTACAAACGACAATTTTCATCCGCTAATATTGATAGCTAAGAATAGTATTGTTTCTATACGTATGTATTCATATATAATTATTATGTACGTATTTATTAATGTTGCTTTAAAACGGTTTCCATAGATGCTTCCGCTGCTTTTGTTGCATTACAAAATTTCCCAAATGCATTCACGCATAACCATACCAACAGATCTCCAAAATATGTAGTTCATTCGCTGTAAACCCGAATGATATCATCTGAATGAATTGTTCAAATTTCGAATGAAATACAATTGTAACAAACATTGGAAGGTATAACTTATTCCATTGTTTTCAAAAAATAAGGCAATAGTTGTTAAATTTTTTGGAAAAGACATGGTACTAAAAGGTTTCATGTAGCAAGTTGTAATCAAAACTAAAAGAATACCTCTATAAGGTTCAAAATCAGCTGCATTTAAAAAGTTCAAATACGATCGTTTCCCACTAGGCGACCAGCCATCTTGTTTGTCTCTAAAATAACTATATACCAGCTTCTGAATAAGATACACTCTCTCTTGGTTGAAAATTTAAATACAAAACATCAGGTTTTCTCTTTTGTCTTACTATTTAACTTTTCTTACAAGGGTAAAGGGTAGTAAATAATGAAATATTTTTGAAGGTAGAAAATAACTACTTTTGTTTCAAATTCTTGTTATTACTCTAGAGTTTGAAAATCATTAACCGGCGTTGCCAGGCGAGCCCAATAAGGTACCGCGGCCTCTGCCTAGAGCAGGAGCAGGAACAGGGCGTTTTTAGTCAGCAAGAGTCTGACATTCCCTCTCGCTTCACACTGGGCAAGAGAAGTAATTTGATGATTTTCTCCACAAAAAAAGGATTTGTGAATCAGAGTATGTTTTAAGAGCGATGCTATTTTTCCTCACCAGATGGCGCTAATTTATCAAGAAGCTAGTTTACCCTATGAGTGTCGATGTAAGAAATTTTACGTTCAATGGTGTGGCTCTACCTAATTCCTTATTGGACGAAAAGAGGAGAAGGCTACACTGACGCCTTTTAACGTAATATGATTTAAAAAAAGAAAATATAGTTACTTTTGACGTCATATTGTTATGCAATTATTATTATAATAAATTGATCGTTTGATTAATTATTATTCTAATGAGAAGGTCAATTAAACAGTAATTAAGGTAATTTTATTAGAGATTGACGCATTGAGGTTACCCGGGCTAACGCGATAGGCTTAACGAGCTATAGGTTTATTTCCAAGTTAATACTAGATTAGGGGACAGAAGATGCTAGACTGTCTAATTGATTTGGTTACGATACTTTTTAGACTGCATTGCGGATTCATACTGAGATGAGATGCAAACATACTGAGTTTTTTTTCAAAAGACTATAGTTCGTTAAACTCATAGCCTTATATAATAAAGTACTAAGGTTATTAATTAGTACAAGCGATTGGACCCGACTTCGCTTGACCTTTATTCTATCATAATCTGTCACGATAATAGATAGAGATCGGCATTAAATTAATTCATTACGTTATTCGACGACATTCACAAAAAATAATATTATAAATAATATTTATTTTATTTTCATATTTATTTTATCAACATAAATAATATGTTGTGCTAGCTCAATAAGGTACAGTGGCCTCGGTCTAAAGCAGGAGAAGGAACGGGGAATTTTAGTCAGTAAGAATCTGATACTTCCTCTCGCTTCACCCTGGGCAAGAGGGAGTATCGAGTACAGTCATTTTTTTTACTAAATACAAAAAAATATATATATAAATTTACTAATAACAAAACCTAACTGTTAATTCCATAAGTGTGTGTGTCATTTAATGGTTTTAAGGTAAGGTTGCATTTAAACAAACATAATAGAAGTAGCAAATTTGTTCATATAAGTAACATAAGTGGTGGAATGTATTTTTTATCGGCCTCCATTTAGCTGGCTAATCAGGCGAGCTAAGATTTCAATATTTTTTTTAATAATCAAACTTATATATTTCGGGCTCAATTGACACCAAATGATAACCTGTTTTGCATATTCATTGTTTTAAGTAGATACCAGTCAAAAATTATACTCCTGCAAATATTATATTTAAGAGTGTATGAATTTTAAATATTTATTATATTAAAAAATCGCATGCTTCGGCATTTCTGGCCCGGCTTTTCGTTCGTTCGATCGGAGACTTGATTCTTTGTTTGTTATTATATTCTTGTTAGTGACTTTTCTCGTGTTGTGGATTAGCACTGGCGGTGCCAATTTTTACCATCAGGTGATCCATCTCCTAGTTTGCCGCCTTATCTGACTTCTTACTAATATTATAAATGCGTGCGACACACTCCGGATTTAGACATAGGCTACTTTTTATTAACATATCATGTGCGGTCGAAGCCGCGGGCGGAAGCTAGTCTATCAATAATTTACAAAATACTTAGTATATTTAAACCTTTACATCAAATATTTACAAAAATATTGTTCATTACTTTTCGAAATTGGATTGAAAATCATTTGCCTAGATACGTTCCTAGGCAGAGAAGATCCCAGATTAGGGCCAGTTCAAAAAAAAATCCAGTCTTGGTGAGATCACCAATCAATTACTTTACTAATGATGCATACTAATATTTATTGTTATATTTTTCTTCTCAATTAAACCTTGAATATCTAAATAAATTCTAAATTAATGTAGCGTTTTATTTGGCGACGGTAAACTGACTATAAAATTTGGTTAGTTTTGAGCATATTTTTTTTTATTGATTCGCAGGAAGACTAAATAAAATGTTTCTAAGAGTTGAATTTCAAATAACAAATACTCAAGGGACTGTTTTGCTTATTTATTGAAGATTTTATCTTATGATCTTCTGCTCTTTGTGATCTAGAGTTGGAATCATTCTTAGACTTTAACAGCCACAAAAAAAAACCAAAGCAAAAAATTTTCAAAAGACACAATCAACACTATTCACAAAACATACTTTGCAGACAGACAGATTCTTGCAGTTACTATTCAAATATAATAATAAAAAACATACTATAAAATTAAAATCTACCTTAATTTATTTTATTAAAGCCTTTTTAAGTACAGTACTTACTTATAACCAGCCAATATGTTCAGTAATGTGGATTTTCCTGCTCCAGAAGGACCAAGAATGCAGGTTAGTTCACCAGAACGAAATTCCCCGGAGACATTGTGGAGAATTTTGCGTTCACCTGGAAAGAAAAAAGAGTTATATCAGACTAGATATTTTATTATTAAGTAAATATTGTTATGTGGTAATGATAAATAGAAAATAATGTATTCTTTTTATTGTGTAATAGGGAACAATCAGACGGATTGCCTTATGGTTTGCTATCGGCACCGCCCATGAACAGCATCAGAGGAGTGACGAGTGCGTTCCCCATCTTTTTATGCGGGTGAGGGTTTTGGGGATTTGAAAGGGCTAGGGAAAGATTGTGCCCCCAGACAAGGGGTCATACAGTGGAATATACGTTCTACAAGTACTGAGCTCGGTTTTGTATTAGGCCATGGATTGATATCACTCGTGCCGAAGCATGGCTCCCCCATACTTCATTTTTTGTTGTATTTTATAAGCAACACTACTTTGGATTATTTGTTACTCGTGCTAGGTATATTATACTATTATGCTATATTATATATTATATTATACTATTTTATTTTTTAAATATTTTAACATGCTGTTGCTATCCACTTGCTACTACAACTACTGGTTCAAGGAAAACATAAATGAATAGAAAAATAAATTATATAATTAATATGTGTTGCAAATTATACAACAAAACAAATGACAAACACACAATAATAGAATCGCGTGCGCAGACGGAATCTTACGAGTAGCAACTGCAGCGCAATTAGTCGCAGCAAAAAGTCGCAGAAAATAATAATGATGAATGATTATTATAATATTTTATGGTAATAATATCTTCTGTTCTGAATACTAATTAAAATGTGTCATGGAAAAATATTCTTCAAAACGATAAATGTGTCCACCTAACTGACATGTTAATTGTTTATGATTAGGAATAGTGATGAGGTTATGTAAACCTATATTCATGTTTTTTTTGTCTGGGGAAAATCATCAAATGACTTCTCCCGACCAGGGTCGGGCAGGAGGGAGTGTCAGACTCATACTGACTAAAACCCCCCTGTCCCTTCTCCTGCTATATTTTCTAAGTTTATTTAGATGTCATCTACACACAGAAAGGAAAACATCTTGAGGAAACCTGGACTTATAATTTCTTTTTTTAAGTTTGAAATTGTCTACATACAATTTCACATACCCATCACACCCAGACTCAGAAAAACAATTTGTAGATATAGCTAGTCAGGCTGCTGATTGAATGGTTAATTATGCTATTTACTGTAACTGTTGGCCATGACATATAATGTTAATTATTTCTAATTCTCAAAGGGTCTTGATTATGTTTGGTAAAATCTCGAACGCAAGCTTTATGGTTAATTATACGATAATAATTTTTTTTTTTTTGGTTTTGCTTGCAAAAGTGAAATGCTTCCTGCATTTCCCTTGTGACAGTTTGTCATATACTGAAGAATAATTTTAAAACGCGAGTGCAATTTACAAACAAATAATATTTTGCTGTCACTATAATCAATATAAATAAAAGAAAGTCGCTTTCTCTGTCCATATATCCCTATGGTATACTTTAATCTTAAAATTTCGCAACGGATTTTGACGCGATTTTTAACACGCTTTTATAAATAAATAGATAGAGTGATTAAAGAGGAAGGTTCATATGTATATTTGTATAATAGCATCCATTTATATTTATACATATAATGAGACTATTTGGTTTCAGCATTGCACAAGTGCGTAAATAAAAAATAGTTTTGAATTGAGAAGTAAATTAATAACTATTTATAAAAAACAAACAATTTATTACACAGGTAGTTATTTGTGATTTGCGTCAATGCTTCGATGCCTTCGATTAATTAAATAATAAATACAAAAAAAGAATTGTGGTTTAAATACGTCTTCACAAAATATTTGTTTTAGCAAAAGTTTTGATTTTTGGTATGGGTACCTTTATTTCTATTCATGTTCCTATTGATATCACATCTTTTAATTAACTCTTACGAAGGCAGATAGATATGTAGGAGGCCAACGTATTATGCTTGTTACCGATAGGAAAAAGTGAGTATATAATGTGTTAGAATACTTCGGGATGAATGGACCGGCACGACTGGAATTGTAGAACCACAGTATTGTATTTCGCCGTGTGAGTAACCAGTAACCTTAAACACCTGCTTAATTCCTGAACTTCATCCTTTTTGATTTCCTTACATCTCCAAATTCTTAAACCTGGAATCCACATCATCGCAAAACTGGGGCGGGCTGACAGTGAAGTGCAAAATGTAAATAATGAACGTAATAACTATTACAGATAAAATCGGTTAAATGGTCCTAATTAAATAGATATACACAAGAAGGCTTCTACCATTCATAAGCGTAATTAAACAGTAGTCAAGTGATAATTTGCCCTTTGACACTAATTTTACGTCACATTTTATAGCTGTATGAAGCAGTATGAATCTCAAAGTTTTTATTAATACAGTCATTAGAGTTCACTTTTAAATCAATTTTTATTACAAGCCGTCTCTAAATTATTTTTTAAACAATCCTCTTTTTTGATATTAGTTTCATGATGGGCTGTTTCTGATGTTTTAATTTTTACCGTGTTGTTTTTTTTGGGGCTTGCCTTTTGAGGATTAGGGATTTAGAGATTTTGGAATTAGGGGCGGAGAAGGATTGGGTTTGCGGCACCTCACTCAAACGGCGAATCACAACGCTGTGGGTGTTTTACGCTGATTTTCTGTGAGACCGTGATATCACTCAGGTCGAAACGACCCATTCGTGCATGGACCTTTTATACACAAAGCATGGCTCTCTCACACACAATACATGGCTCTCCTACACTTTTTTGTAAATTTATAAATTTTTTTTTCACGCCTTATTTAATCGTCTTCATAAAAGTTAGCTGGATTTTTATTCAGTAGCCTAAACTACAACCAATTTCAAGGAAAATCCATTACCTATATAGTTTTAATGCAAGAGAGCAATAAATATCTACCCAGTCATACTTATAAACTTTCGTTTATAATAATAGTACGATTATAATAAATCATAAAAATAATTAAATACTTTGAAAGTTATTTAAATAATTAAATAAATAAACGAAAACGAAAACAAAATTACCTAGCAGCAATACGATGAAATAAATACACAAATTTAAATGGTCAAAAAAATATTTTATACTATTTTTAACTTTAAAAGCCACAATATGAGTTCACGTGTTTCACGTGCCATAAATGCGTCACTAGATGTCATCTTCGTCAGAGGAAAATAGTACCTTATGTACATGTATATATAGGTAACATATTAAACAAAATTATATGTTTACTATAACTGGATTCTATTACCAAGATACTTATCTCACTCGACTCTATTATTTAATGAAATGTGTAATTGCTTTAGAAAAAATATACATATAATAATATCCGTATTCATTACTGCTAATGTCAACGTGGATGTGTTGATATAGGTTATGTACCTATTTGGGCGAAGGGAAAACAAGCGAATATAAAAAGTATGTCAGATTACGAATAGAAATAACTCAGCATAATTAAAATTGCAATTAAGTGTAGGATCTGATTGCTGAAATAGTTAGAAAGTGGAATCGAAGGTTTTAGAATGAAATACAAGTATTTAACCACTTGTAATTCGTCCCTGGTATTTGCGAATATCCAACTATCTTGGTGACAGTAATTTTTTTGTGTTTTTAAGCCCATTTTTGCATTTATCGCTGATACTATTGTAAAATTTATTTAAAAAGTTGACCTCATCTAATACAGCAAAAAAAATAATGTTATGGTCAGAATTGGTTTTGTCGTTACCTCGTAATTACGCGACTAAAGGTTTTTTTAGGTAACTATTATATGGATTTTTTTTTAATCGTTTGACATCGGAAGCATACAACGCCATGTGAAAAGATCCTTTTAGTGTCACAAACTTGTTGCACAGCCAACAGTTTCCAAATACTTCAAGCAATATTCTATAAATTCTTAAGATTCTGTGGAAGACTGGCATAGAATGTTCAGAATTTTAAGAATTTTGCTCAAAATATTTAAATCTGGAAGCGAAATCCCTTACGAAATAAAATAACTTAAGATCACATTGCACAAATAGAAAACCAGGACGGATATTGCAAAGATAATGAAAATACCGACTGATGTGAAATGACGAACTGTGCAATCATAGTGTTCTTAGGCTTTGAGCAATAATTATAATACTAAACAGCTTAAGTACTTGTTTTGCTAAGAGTAATTAGAAAATTTAAATAATGTTATCATTAAGTGTAGTGTAGTAAGTGTGGGAGGGCCATGCTTCGGCAGGAATAGGTCAGCTCGACCGGAGTGATACCACGGCCTCACAGAAAACCGGCGTGAAACAACCTCAGCGTTGTGTTTTGCCGTGTGAGTGAGGTTACCGGAAGCCCAATTCTTCTCCTCCCCCAATCCCTAAATCTCCAAATCCCTAATCCCTAAAAGGTCGGTAACGCACTCGTAACTCCTCCGTTGTGGGTGTCCATGGGCGGCGCTGATTGCTTACCATCAGGTAATCCGTATGCTCGTTTGCTGACCCATTACATAAAAAAAACATTATGCTATATTGAGACTGTTAGATGAGCTACACCTTTTGTAATACATCCAATATAGAAACATATTATCCAAACTAATATTATAAATGCGAAAGTAACTCCGTCTGTCTGTCTTTTCTTCATACCTAAACTACTAATGCCCGGTTCCTATATTTAACGAATCGTCGTTGTATACGCATTACGACCAAATGACATTACGAATAGTTATCTTGACCGTCTACTGACGGTTAAAATATTTATAGGAACACCACAGACACCATAGATCTCCATACAATTCGCTTACCGACATCCGTTAGTTGCAAACCGTCAGTAAGTTGCACGACGAGACGTTTGTTATAGGAACGGTTTTAGCTTACGAGTCGTATATAAAACTACTATTCGTAACTAAAACGGATCGTTTCTCAATTATAGGAACCGGGCATAAACCGATTTCTGTGGAATTTGGTACAGACATAGTTTGGAACTCGAGAAAGGACATAGGATAGTTTTTATAACAAAAATCTGCAGGAAATCAC